TCATTTATCAAGCACCTACTATGGACTAGCTTGGCCCTGGGATGCAGGTGGACACAGTCCCTGACTTCACAGAGCTAGCGTAGAGTCTAGCTGGGAGCTGCCATGTCCAGGAGAATGTCAGCTATTCTGAAAAACAGACACTGGCCCAGCAGTACATTTGGGAGGAATCTGAAGCATTGTTCTCCTGCCTACTCAAATGTCCTGACTCTTCCTCTTCAGACCAACTGCATTTCAGAGCAGCTGACAGAACAGCTGTTGGCTTTCTGTGATTGGGGGTGCGATGCTCTGATTGACCAAAGTGAGGGGCATTCTTATCCTTGGATCAGGACCTATAGTCTTTCCACCCCACACAGGTGCTGAGAGTGGGAGGAGGGGTCCTCCAGCGGAAAACTAGGGCACCATACTAGTAAGTGGAGAAAGGGTCAATGGACGCTGAGGGACAAAACACCACAGCCCACAGCCTTCCTCGTCTCACATCAAGTACCAGCATAAACACACCAGACTTTCCATTTACTTTGAGAAGAGGTGACATAAAGAAATCCAGCTCTGGCCAGTGCTTCTCAGTGGTTAGAGCGCCAGCCTGTGCATCAAAAAGTCAAGGGTTCTATTCCCAGCCCTGGGTGATGTTCAGGAGGCAACTAATCAATGATTTCTCTCTCTCCCCTCTCTCTCTCTCTCTCTCTCTCTCTCTCTCTCTCTCTCTCTCTCTCTCTCCCCCCCCCTTCCCCCATCTTCCCTTCCCTTCCACTCTCTCTAAGAATCAATGGAAAAATATCCTTGGGTGAGGATTACAAAAAAAAAGAAAAAGAAAAAGAAAAGAAATCCAATTATACTTTTAAACTCAGCTCATCAAATAGGAATCACTCCAAAGAATTGTTTTATCCTTTCTAACTCGTTTTTCTCCTCTGTAAAATGGGGATGTTGGTATTTATCCCCATGCAGCAGCTAAGAAGATTCAGGGAGATAATTCATATAAAAAGCTTAACAGAGCCCAGCTGGTGTGGGTCAGTGGTTGAGGGTCGACCTATGAACCAGGAGGTTCACGGATGGCAATTCGCGGTCAGGGCACACACTTGGGTTTTGGGCTCAATCCCCAGTATGGGGTGTGCAGGAGGCAGTGATTAATGATTCTCGTCATTGATGCTTCTATCTCTCTCTTCCTCTCCCTTCCTCTCTGAAACCAATATATATAAAAGCTTAGCACAATGGCTGGCACATAAAAAAAGGCTCAACAAAACGGCAACTATTTTACTCCCTGTTGTCCACTCAATCCAGGTCGTCAGACTCAGAAAGCAACTTCCTGTCCCGCCCAGGCTTCCTGGAATGTGACCTCCAGTTGATGATCTGCTCCAGCCTCCTCACAGGCCCAGCAAACAACCTTGACCCTGGTCATTCAACTTACGGCCCTGAGTCATTCTCTGGGTTCAACGGCCCAAGGAGCTGTGCTTGGAACTCAATAAACTAATGACCATAAAAAACAGCCTAAACACTGAGAGAGATCTCACCCACTTTTTTCCTTGAAAACTCTCCCAAATTCCCTAGAAGACTCACCCAGTCCATCTCTCCACTGATGATAACCCCGGGCCATTCCTACCTGCCTATTTCAACCTGCCCTTGTTCTCCTAGTCTCATCCCCAGAACAAATTGTTTAACTCTCGCTCTTAAAGAGGCACACCCTAGAACCTCCCTAACAACCCAAATCCTTTAAAATTCAAGATTGGTGATTTCCCACCTCCCACGTGACCAAGGTGAAAATTTTCAGCTCACCTCCAAGACTCCTGGCAATCCTCCCTTAAGACCTGCCCTAAACGCCCAGCCTTTAAAACCCCTCAAAACGAAGGTCTGGCACATGCTCTCCCTCCCAGGAGTATGCCTGTGCCTCCCCCCTCCTCTTCCCCACAGGCATGGGTCTCCTGAACTCTAAGGGACCCCATGAGGCTTGCAGCCAGGGCAGCACTGGGCAGTGGCAGCTCATCCCGGGCAACCCCCCTGAGCCTGTCCCCAGGTTCTCTTCACGCTGACTTTCAGTGAGCCAGAGCAGCCCAGCCTAGGCTCATTTCCCCAGCCTTTCCTTGTTTCACTGTCCCCAGCTTTTATAAACATCCTCTAAAAATCTCCTGGACTCACGTTGTGACATTTTTCCTGCACAAAGTCAAGAACCCACACACTGCCGGCCGGCCCGAGGCAGACCCACCAGTGCCAGGTGGCCTTTCTGTAACTCTGTCAGCTAGAAGTGCCCAGGGAGACTCACCTGGGCCCCAGTGCACTTCCCACAGACATCTCTCCTTCTAACCCAATGTTGGGGCTGGACAGACCCTTGCAGATCTTCTTATCATGATTTCAAAAAAGCCCTTCAGCTATAACCCTCAGGAAAATTTGGAGAAAGAGTTTATTACCGACAGGCCCTGGAGCAGACTATGCCGGCCACGAGGCACACAGTGAGGTGGCGGCCAGAGAGGGAGGGCGAGCACCAGTCCTGGGGTTCTGTGTTTATTGGGATTGAGGGTGGGGGTCTAGGGTTTAGTGTGCTCACTCTTTCTGTTTAATACTGGCTTTAATTATTTTTCTTTAAAATTTTTTAAATGTATTTATTTATTTGAGAGAGAGAGGAAGGGAGAAACAGTGCTTTGTTGTTCCAGTTATTCACATATTTATGCATTCATGGGTTGCTTCTTGTATATGCCCAGACTGGACATCGAACCCGCAACCTTTTTTGTATCAGGATGATGGTCTAACCAACTGAGCTACCCAGCCAGGGCCATAGTGGGCTCACTCTTTATTGGTGAATTTAAAACATAAGAATGGAAATTTAAAGCTCAGAAAGAAAAAGGAAAAAACAAGTAGCCCAAATGGTCCGTTATCAAACTCAACCAAAATCTCTACAACAAAGGAGTCTGAGGTGGAGGAAGGGGTGTGGCTCTTGATGGAGTACCCGGCCATTTGCTAGTTCAGGAAAGCCTTCTTGAAATGGATGCTTTGCTGGAGTGGATTTGCATGTGGATGAAAAAGGAGTTCTACTGAAAGTTACCTTACAGAGTGATCTGATCAACATTCCTAACAGGGCAGGTCATGGTGGGGAGTCACGCCCCGGCATAGAACTGCTTTAGTATATGAAGGTTATCTTTGCCTTTGCCACGCCCTGTCCATTGTTTTTTGTGCATCAAGGTTAACACCCCTTTGAAATAAGCTTAACCACCTTGAAGAGAGCACATAACCTTGTTAACTATCACCTTCATGTAATCATTCCTACCTTTCCTCCTTAACCTCCAATGCAGAAGAAGTAACTGCAAAACTGTCGTTTTTCGGAGCCTTTGAGATCTTGGTTCCTGGTGTTAACGTAAAAACCATTGAAACCTGTAAATAATTTTTGTGAGTTTATTTGAGCCAAACGGTCTACATATGCCAGGAAGCAGAACCTCAACGAATTGAGATAATGCTCCGGAGATTGGCAGGTTACATTTGTATTTATACATTTCAATCAAAGGAAAGGGGCATAGCTGGGTTACATGAAATCCATTGGTGATAGACTAGAGAGGCAGGAGAAAGCAAAGCAGGGAAACCCCTGGGGTTGGATAAAAAGTAAAATGATGGACACATACTTAGGTGGGTGCAGGAACAATTAACATGATAATGAAGGAATTTGTGGTATCTGTCCGGTCGCCCAGCACATTAGGTTGTGCCCCAAGGGGTCCAGAAAAAGGGAAGTTACAAGTTACCTAGACATTTCAAAGGGTATGTTATTATAGATGCAAAAAGACAGATAGGCTCAGTTAAGGTAAAGGTTGCTCTTGTCAGTGAAGATACCGGCCTAGGAGGTGACTACCCACCATAACTGCTTTTATTTATTTATTTATTTATTTATTTATTTTTTTAAAATATATTTTATTGATTTTTTACAGAGAAGAAGGGAGAGGGATAGAGAGCTAGAAACATCGATGAGGGAGATCGATCAGCTGCCTCCTGCACGCCCCCCAGTGGGGATGTGCCTGCAACGAAGGTACATGCCCTTGACCGGAATCGAACCCGGGACCCTTGAGTCCACAGGCCGACGCTCTATCCACTGAGCCAAACCGGTTCGGCCATAACTGCTTTTAGTTAAAGTTTAATTTCAGACCATGCTTGTGGTTACTTTAGGTCTCTGAGTCTGCAAGACTGCCATGCAGGCCTCCCCTGAGCTTGTCAGGTTAGCATGTGGCCCCTTTCGTCCACACTGGTAATTGTCAGTTTTAGCTCAAATACTCATGAAAGTTCTCTACATTTTTTGGACATTTCTTAATGCCTTACAAAAGGAAAAACCTACTGTTAGGGCTCACGTGCTTGTGGAGATGCTGGAGTAAACAAGCCCCTTGCACGCCAGTGGTATGAAAGTGTAGCTCCTACAATCACAGGGTAGGCTACGCAATCTGGGTTTATGTAAGTGCACTCTATGGTGCTTCATCTCAGGATAAAATATACTGCCTATCAATGCATTTCCCAGAGTGTATCCCGTCATTAAGCTAAGCGGTACAGGACTGTAGTTGTAAATACAATTCCTGGGAAAGACCTTGCTGACAATGCAGTTGGGGTGTTTGGAGTTGGAGCAGCCACTTGGAACCATGAGGTACAAACCCCATGCTGAGTGTGGCCGAGCACCCGAAGAGAAGGGACCTAGGCCGGGTCTTAGGCACTCCTGCAGCCACTCTCCCAGTCCTCGATGACTTGCCTGCACATGCTGTTCATGTGAGAGCAAAACAAGCTTCAACATTGGTTTTACCCGAACCTGACTGACATAAACGCTGAAATAATGATGGCCTTCAATGTATTAACATTTGTTATTGACACTTACAAGGGTGTCTACTGCTCCTTATTTGAGATTTCCAAGTAAACTTAATATCTAAAAGAGAGCTGAGGTAGCAGAGTAGGCCACTCCCAAATCTACCAAAGTGGCGTGGGGTGGCCTATCCACTACCCTTCCAGGGGTTCTCAAAGTTTTGGTCTCAAGGCCCCCTTACGTTCTTAAAAACTGCTCTGAACCCTTCATGAACTTGCAGGTCATCCTTGTGCAGGGGCCATGCTAATCTTCTCAGTATCATTCCGATTTTAGTATATGTGCTGCTGAAGCGAGCACCCAAGGGTCTCCAGTTTGATTCCTGATCAAGGGCGTGTATCTGGGTTGCAAGTTTGATCTCCAGCCCCAGTCGGGGGTGAGCGCAGGAGGCAAGCAATCCATGTGTCTCTCTCATATCGATGTTTCTCTCTCTCCTTTCTCCCTGCCTCCCTCCTTTCCACTCTCTCTACAAATTAATGGGGAAAATATCTCCGAAATGATGATGCCTAAGACTCAGCAGTAGATATTAGTTTATGATTTGGTGGGGCCACCAGCATACAGTTTGTGTTTGATTTGGAGCCACCAGCATTCATCTCCCCCTCTTTTGGGAACCGTGCCTGCTTTTCCCTTTTGGGTAATACCCTCTCCTGCACTTTTAGCCCAGCTTAGAAAAAGTGCGAGACGAGTCTATGCCCTCCCATTCATCATGGCCACAGTAACTCCTTCGAGAGGAGCATGAGCTGGAGTGCAGGAACGCAGTAAAGAACCTGGCCTTTTCCTCAGGCTTAGCTAGGAAGGAATGTAAGATCCAGCGCACCAGCAGCCTCCCTGAGTCACACAGGGAGGCCCGCGTGAGCCTGGAGCCAACACGGAGAGATACTGAGAGACAGAGACAGCGAGGAAGAGACTGGCAGAGACAGACACTGGTCCTGAGCCATTGGTCTCGGTCCCTAAGCCTGCCTGGGGGAGACGCAGCTACTTGTATCCTCTTCTTCCATGTAGTCAACAGACCCTCAGGCTAGTCAGCTCAGGAGCTATATGTCCAGCTCAACATTCCTGGCTTCCCAGGCTCCCTGGCCGTGCAGGTTATGGCCAATGACGTGTAGGCAGAAGTCAGTGCCTGGGGCTTCTGGGGAAGCTTGTGAAAGGAGGAGCCTGTGTCCTTTATCCCTCCTCCTCCTTGGGCTGCAGGAAGGAGACCACAAGCAGAGCAGAGGGGACAAATAACACTGGGAAGGCTGACAGGAAGGCCTGCGGCAGCCCCGACCGCTCACACCCTCCATCCCCCCACGGTGGCAGATGGCTTTGCTAAGTGAGATGAAAGCTTTTCGAGTTACGTTTCTGTGACGCCCAGCAGAGCGCGTTCCTATGTGACATGCAGCCCTACTCCTGGACAATTGCTTACAGGAGCCCGTCAATCCCCTGCTTGGCTTATGCCGGTTTGGGTTGGGTTGTCTGTCATGTTCCACAGAAGAAATCAGATTTCTGGCTCCAAGATTTCCTGTTTACTCAGCGGGCCTACAGCTCTCCCTCATGTCTGTGAGACAAGGCGGGCTACAGCCTTTAAGACAGAAGAGATGCTTTCCTTCCAGGGGGCAGAGGAACATCACCCTGGCTTCAGAGGAACGCCACACAGGAGGGGAGCTTGGGAGAAGTCATGGGAGGGGCAGCGAGCAGCCATCAGGGGAGCAAAGCGCTTGTTCCACCTTCGGAGAGGAGCTGAAGTACTGTCTGGGGCTGCTGTCTGGGTCACAAGCATAATTTTGATGACTCTACAGCCGAGCTATGTAGTGGAGGCTCCTCCAACTTTCAGCAAAGTCTAGTTGGCCCTCACTCTTCGGAGGCATGTGGAGAACTGCATTCTTTCAGCGGCGGGGCCTCTTCAGGACTTTTCCTCTTTCCTGGACTGGGGCCGGGGTGGGGGAAGAATGAGAATTCGTGTGAGCATGCACACACTTAGGAGTCCGTACACGTGAATCTAAGCCCTGACTCTGCACCGAGTCGAGGGGGGTCCTGAGAAATGTATCTAACTTTTCTGAGACTCAGTTTCTTCTCTGGTAAAACGGCGGTGATAATAGTCATCTCACAGAGTCCTTACAAGGATCAGATGAGCTGTTCGAATTTAATAGGAACAAATTGCGTAAGATGGAACCATTTTGGGAAACTGGGTCAAGGGTGTATGGGAACCTCTGAATACTACTATCTTTTTAACTTCTTGTGAATCTATTATTAAAAACTTTTTTAAATTTCTTAAAATGTCTTTTCTAATTAGTCCTGGCTGGTGTGGCTCAGTTGGTTGGGCATTGTCCGGTGCACCGTGAGGTCGCTAGTTCGGTTCCCAGTCGAGTGAGTGCATGCCCGGACTGTGGGCTGGATCCTAAGTGGGGACAAATAGGAGGCAGCCAATTGATGTTACATTCTCATGTAGATGTTTCTCTTCTCTCCCATCCTCTCTCTCTAAAAATCAATAAACTATTCTTTAAAACATTTTTTTTTTTAATTAATAGGGAGGAAGAAAGAGACAAAAACCCACAAGTTCTGGGTGTGGGGTTTTGCATTTTCCTAGCAATTTGGACAATAAAGTGAGGAGATGAGTGAATTTGATGAGAATAGAGATGGAGTTTTCTATGGGTTAGTAATCAGAGCTTTTTAATGTTCTTTCAGATATAAATGTAAAGGTTACAGAGCTTTTTAATGCCTTGGACAGCGAGGCTGTTTTCTTCCGCATGGCTCTGCACAGCCTGGGCCGCATGGACTCTTGGGGTGGGCTTTCCAGGGCTACGCTCTTGACAGAGGCAAGTCAGCTGTGCTGATTCCCTTCCCTGCCCCAACCCCGCCGCCCTCTGAACAGGCTGCCAGCATTCCCAACCCCCGCCAACATTCTTCCCAGAACTGTCTGAGTAAGGACAAAAGCAGTACCTTCTGCCCCTGGGCCCTTCTAGAACCTTCTCTAAGATACAGGCCCATTACCTCATCCCATTCTTCCTCACCTCTGGAACAGATTAAAGGCTAATCCTTGGGTGCTGGAGGAGGAGGAGGAGGAGGCGAAGCCTGCAGAGCTGGGAGGGAGCTCAACCCCCCCCCCCCACCACCACCACCTCCAAGCCTCCACACAGCCTCCACATGGCCTCCACATGACCTTCACATGGCCTGCACACGGCCTGCACAGTGCTTCTCATCCTGAGCGCGCCCTGCTGCCCATCAGGCTGGACGATCCCTCTGCTTCTTTGCCCAGAGGAAGGGTGACACAGGCAGAAAGAAAGGCCCTCTGCTGCAACCCCACTGTGTGTACAACACAGACACGGCCAGGCAAGAGACCTGAGTGGCTGCTGGCCCTGTGTCGGGGGTGGGGGCTGTAGTGTAGTCCCCAGAGCCGGTGGCAGAACCTGTGCAGGATCTGAAGAGCCACTGGATCCTTTTCGTACTGTGCAGGATTGATTGCCTCACACACAGGGTGAGACGGGTGCTCATGGTAAATGCCAATACACCCACTTCGTCTGGGGGCGGGCTTTTATACTAGGGAACGTTCTGTATCCACAGCGCAGGGTATAGTATTGCCTGGGCCAAGCTGCGAATCAGGAGGTTGAGGAAGGAGCATAACACTGGGGCAAAGGGTGCTCTGAGGGGGTGTGATATCCGAGTGGGGTGGGGAAGTGGACCTGCTCAGTAGAGGTGACACAGGCTGATCCGGATTAAAATGTTAAAAATTGTTTTCAAGTTATAAAATTAGTTGATATAGCCAAGATGGTGAAAATGGATTCAACCAATCTAGTGAGTTATCTACTGAAGTCCTCTCCAGTGTGAAATTCATTCAAGAGAAGAAATTAATAGGGCGATACTTTGATAAAATCAGCCAGGACGTGGGCAAATACTATTTTGGAGTTGAAGATACACTAGAGGCTTTAGAAACGGGAACTGTAGAAATTCCAATAGTCTATGAAAATCTGGGTCTAATGAGATACGTTCTTCATTGCCATGGCATGGAAGAGGAGGAAATTCTCAATCTAACTCCAGAACAAGAGGAAGGACAAATCCCATTTCACAGGAAAGAGACAGGACTGGGACATGAACTCACTGAGAGCACGCCCCTGCTGCAATGGTTTGCTAACAACTATAAAAAATTTGGAAATTGTCACAGATAAGTCACAAGAAGGGTCCCAGTTTGCGAAAGGACGTGGTGGAATTGGAGTCTCTTGTGGTACGGAGTAGACTCCCAGGGAATGGAATACCAAGGAGGAGACAATGGATTTTTCTCATCGTCTCTATGGTGAAATTGGTTGCTCTTGTATTTTATGAAAAATACTTTTTTAACCTTCATACATAGAAGCCAAAAATACTTTAACTGCTGTAAACTTCAAAGGTTAACAGAAATGAGATCATACTGGTTTGTTGCTTATTTTGATTGGAGATAATTAAGTTGCTGCACTTCGCAGTGACCCAGGTGCATGGCAGCGGCAGTTCGCCCTGGGCTGCCGTCCTGCACCTGCCTCCAAGGCCCCCTTTTCTCTGACTTTTCAGTGAGCTGACAGCAGCCCACTTCTTCCCTAGAACATTTCTGGGGAGCCAGACAGAGCACCGCCCAGGCTCCCTCCTGCTGCTTCTCCCCAGGCCCTTCCTTTGTTTCACTGTCCCGCTTTAATAAATACAGTGGGAAGGCTGGGGAGGGTTGGGGGGCGGGTAAGAGATCAATCAAAGGACTTATATGCATGCATATAAGCATAACCAATGGACACAGGACACTGGCGGGGGGCGGTGGGGTAAGGGCATGTGTGTGTGGGGGGGGCGGGGGGGTGTTAGGTGAGGCCGGGGGAAGGTCAATGGGGGAAAAAAGGAGACATATGTACTACTATTTGTAATACTTTAACAAGAAAATAAAATTAAAATAAATAAACGTATTCTCAAAATCACCTGGTTTCGCGTTGTGAGATCTTTCCTGAACGAAGTGAAGAACTCACACATTGCCGGCAGCCACGAGGCCTGAGGCAGACCCGCTCCAGGCCCCGTCTCCTTTCCGATGACAGTAGGATCTGCCATCCTCAGACCAAGCCAGGGGGTGCAGTAGTTCCTAGCATAGAGGTTCAAGGGCAGCTTCTGCCATTGCTCTGCCTGGGCTCTGATCCACACCGAGAGACAATGTGGCCTTGACCAAGTCTAGGCTGCAGTTTCCTCATCTGCAAAATGACCAAAAAAGGGGGGGAACAATGTAAGTACTTCTCAGGTTTATTGTGAGGCTGACATGAGATCATGCATGTGATGTTAGCTTAGCCCAGAGACTGCCACATAGAAAGTGTACATTAAGT